AAAGAGTGCCATTACTGCAGAAGCATTCTAGGGTTTCATTTGTTTTATCAAGGACCTCTTATCCTTTGACATTCAAATCAAAAGCAAAATCCTTTTGCCTTTTTTTCTCCCTGTTTTCATTTGCCAGAGGATGCCTGCACTTGCCAGAGAAAGAAAAGTAGAGAGAGTGAGAAAGTACCCTCAATGGTCATGCCTCTATCCTGTCTCCTTTGTCTCTTCCTTCTTGTGAGATTTTGGGCACGTACACACAGGTACCTGGCAGGTTTTTCAGGCTGCTGAGTCTAGGACTTAAACCATGTAGCTGGCCATGTGAAATCCAACTCCTTAGCCACCAGAGCATGGGCTGGCTCCAAATCATTCTTTTTAAAATTAAAAAAATCTATTCTGGGACCAGCAGTTGGCATAATGGCTATGTCGCTGGGCTCCCATGTAGTTGACCGTGGTTCGAGCCCTGGATCCGGTGGCTTAAACTCAAGCCAGCCGTGTGTGTGTATGCATGCCCAAGATCCTGAGAGGAGGGATCAGCAGTTAGTGTGGTGGCTATGTCACTAGACTCCCACGTAGTCGACTGCGGTTCGAGTCCCGGACCCAGTGGCTTAAACTCACGCTGGGTGCATGTGCGTGGATGCCCAAGATCCCGAGAGGAGAATGGAGGAGGGATTGCGGCATGGCCATCCCCTCTGGGGGGTGATTTCTCGCTATCTCTCTGTCTCTGTCTGGTGAGTGTACGGGCCCTGTAGCAAAAAACCTTTCTGAAAAAAAAAAAAAAGATCCTGAGAGGAGAATGGAGGAGGGATTGCGGCATGGCCATCCCCCCTGGGGGGGTGATTTCTCGCTTTCTGTCTGTCTGTCTGTCTCTTCTTTCTGTCAAGCACACACAGCCTATAGCAAAATCCTATCCCCCCCCCCAAAGAAAAAGAAAAACATCTATTCTGCAACAATGATCAACTGTGGAAAGGCTGCAAGCACAACACAGAGAACTTTTTTCCTGACCCATATCCATTTGAGAGTAACCCGCCAACCTGACGTCTCGTAGCTCCTAAATTATGTCAGTGTGCATTTGTCACAAATGGAAATGTTCTATATAACGCAACACAATCACAAAAATCAGAAAATAAGTTATTGCATTACTGCCACACAAATTCTTTATTAAAGTTCATTTCTTGAGAGAGACAGAGACAGTCCAACAGGGTCTTCATGCCCTACAATCCACTCTGAGTCTCAACTGGCCTGGATCACAGGCACATGCACTGGCTGCGCTGGGGGAGGTCCCAGTGGAGTCCCAGGCACAAACCCAGACCCTTTCCCGTGCGGATCCAGTTGCCTTACCGCTGTGCCACTACCTAGGCTTCCCATGCAATTCTTAGGCCCTGCTCAAGTGTCACCATAGTTTCAGTAATGCCTTCTCTCTAGCAAAAAGACCCAGATGAAATCATGTATTGCATTTACTTGTCATGCCTCTAGTTTCAAACACTTTCTTGGCCTTTCTGTGATTTTTATGAGTTAGAAGCTTTTGAAGATTACAGGACAGTTTTTGTTTTTTTGTTTTGTTTTGTTTTGTTTTGTTTTGTTTTAGAATTATTTATTGGGAACCAGCAGTTAGAGCAGTTAGCATAATGGCTATGTTGCTGGACTCCCACGTAGTCGACCGCGGTTCACGTCCCGGACCCGGTGGCTTAAAACTCATGCCTGG